TGTGTTGGCTTGTTTATGCTTTTATTTTTTGTTTGTATAGTCTTGATGGCTTTGGACTTTTTTGCCTTTTATAGAAAAAAAAGAACTATTCTCATTTGAATTGTCAAACTGAGTTTTGTCATCAATCTTAAAGTCTTATATTTGAGTTTTTTGAATTTTGACCTAATGTTTTTATACTTTCTTGGTATTATCTTTAGTGTTTCAAAAGTCTTACATCTGAATAATTTTTCATGTGATATTATAGCTTTGTTTAAGTCATCTGAGTTTTTAAAGCTTATTATTACAAAATTTCTTCTTTTTCCTGTTTTGCTATTAAGTGAAATGTAAATTGTTTTGGCCTTTAAATGTTTTATAATGCTTATTATTTGTGTGACTGATATTGATTTTCTAATGCCATATAGTCTGGTTGTAATCTTATTTTGTTTTAAGAAAGTATCTTGGTGATTATTCAGTGATACTAGTCTAGTTATTAAGTTATTTAATGGAATCAACCAAATTTTCTTTAAGTATGTTTCTATGAATTGATAGGAGAATAATGTGACACTATTGTAATTGTTATTTCCTTTAATTATTTTTAAGAATTTGACTTTTCCATATTTGTTAAGGATACTTTGTATTTTGTCAGAAGGAATATGTGCTGGAATGTCTATAAAAATATATTGGTCTGATATTGAATCAGTAGTTTATAAAGAAATTGAACTTTCTAATGAAATATCAATGTCTGAGTTGATATTCTTGCTAATGTTGATAATTATATCTTGTGATTATATATGATTTAGAAGCTGTTGTTTGTATTTGTGAACATCGGTTGCCATGTTGAAGAAAAGAATTATCTATTTGTTTTTTTCTATTGCCAGTACTTGTATTCTTTCATGTTCTATAGATACTTCAAGTATGTTGACTATTTGTTGTAACTAATCCTCTCTGCTGATTTGAGAAAGTAAATTGTATTTAATACAAAGTTAAACTCTGCTTTGCTTGTTTGTTAGATTAAATGAATTATCGATTTCATATCTTTATTTTTTTTTAAATATGTTGTATTTGGAGTCTTTGGATTTTTTGTTTAATTTGTTGTCTTGAGTGAAGTCAAAGTCTTATATTGTGATAAGTTGGAAGTCTTTCTTATCTTTGAATTTGTTTATACATGTTACTCAATCTTTTTTGTGTTGAAAATAGATTGCATACCAGCTATTTCTATTGAAAAAGAGTGGTTATATAAGATAATATTTATTGATGGAAAGTTTAAGAGCATTTGTTATGTATTTGATTTGATCTGCTTGGTTTTTTTCTGGTGTATTTGTTATTAAAGTTCCTGCTTTATATAAGCCTTTTTTGCAAATATAGTAAGGATTTGTTGGCTGAAAGTATCTGTTTCTTATTGCATAGTCCTTAAGAGCTCTGATATCTTATATTGTATTGGAAATAAGTATATACGCATCTGAACTTTCATCTGAGAATAGCTGTTCTTTCATAATTATTTCAGGAACCTGTATTTCTTCTTCCTTAATTATGTTTTCTGGAGTGTATTCATTTATAATTACTTCTGGACTTTGTTTTTCTTTGTTTGTTTGTTTTATAGTATTTTCTTGAATAATGTAATTTTCAGATATGTTGTTTGTACTTCTTGCAATTTCTTCTTTTTGTTGTTGAGGAGTATACATGTTGCTAAAATTCATAGATCCTTGACACAATTGATGCAATTATTTGATGCAATTAATTGAGTCACTATTAAAACATATAAATAATTGAGTCATGACACAATTATTTTTGAGAATTTTGGGAATTGAGTCAACAGCAAAATAATTTATGTCACATGTATACTATTATATTTTAAATTATATAAAGTTACAAAAAAAAAAATTCTTTTTCACTTCTTTTTCTATACTTGAAAATTTCTTTTTTAAGAAATTTTTGAGTTGTTTACTTTTTTTTCACTTTCACTTTTTCCTCTCTTTTTTTATATCTCTTTATTTTCCTTTTCCTATTTTCTTTCCTCTTTTCTATATATTCTTTTATTTACTTCATTCCTTTCTCTTCTCTTTTCCTTTTCCCTATCAAAGTTAGGTTTTCTCTTCTTCCTGAAAGTTTGCTTTTTAGGTCTTTCTCTCTTTTATAAATTTCACTCTCCATAACATCACTCCTCTGGCCAGTCAGCTCTTTTTTCTTAAGACCATATTCAAAAATAGTAATTTCTCTCAAGATATGGGTTTTAGAATTTTTTTCTCTTTCATAACCTTACAGAAAAAAAATAGATGATTTATTTTCTCCAAAAGATCAGCATAGTCATCATTATCAAATCCAGTATTGTTTATTTGTTAATGGTTAGACTAGATACATCTAAGAAATTGATATATAACTATTATTATCTGAAAGTATCCAAGGAGTTATGTCCTATTGTATTCAAAAAAATATGATAGTCAATATCAATGTAGTTAACAATAAGTTAGGTTAGTTTGTAGGTATTATACTGGTGATTAAAAAATTTAATAAAATAATATATAAAGATTAGAGATTCTAGTTACTTTTACAATATGAGCTGATAATGACAATGAAAGTTTCTTGCTTACTCCTTTGACAATATAGACTCATTATACAAGATTAGATATTAATACTTTTAAGAAAATTCAACTTTACTATATATCCAACACTCTCTTTAACAAATTGCTACTTTATGTTTAAACTTGTTTTCTATACTCTTTGATTCCATCTTATTCTAAAATCAAAATATACCTTCCAAAGCTACTCTAATAGTAAAATTAATTGCCATCTCTCAATTTATAGTTCTAGTAATGGATTTCAAAATATAAGATCTATATTAGGTAAAAATAGTGAAAGATTAATATTATTAAAGGATTGCATTGATATTAAAGACGATTGCTACTCTCTAGTCTTTAATCTTAATGATAAGTTTGAATGAAAGGTCAATACTATACATGTTGTTGAAATTTGTAGATCCTTGACACAATTGACACAATTATTTGACACAATTAATTGAGTTACTATTAAAACATATAAATAATTGAGTTATGATGCAATTATTTTTAAGGATTTTGAAAATTAAGTCAACAGCAAAATAATTTATGTCACATATATAATCAATACTATACATGTGTTTATATTTAATTCAGACATTTTTCAAAAATTGTATTATATTTGTATTATTAAATAACAATTAGTAAGTAATTGGGAATCGTATTTAATTTAGAATTGTATTGTGATCAAACTTCCTTTTATAGTAATAAGAAAACATATATAGTTAATACTAGGTGCAAATGGTAAAATATTTGTTTTATTTTGATATATTTGAAGTTAATGTAGTTTGGAATTAACTCTTGCTTCACTTGTTATATATCAAGTCACAGTTAAAAAACAAATATATCAATCATAATTATGACTTGGAGGCCAACCTATATAGTAATTACAGTGTCTTTATATAATTAGATAATCAAATTCTCTAGGTAACTAGATGCTATTCAAGACATAATATAGGTTTTAAATTTTCTTTTTCTATATTCTTAAGTAGTACTAAAGAGCTTAAGTGGATAGGCTGCAATTATAAGTCTTGCATTAAATTCTTCCTAATAAAGAGAGATGTATACTATGTCATAAAATTGTAAATTTTATACTTGCAAATCTAAAATTTATAATAAAAATAGTGTGTGGGAACTGTATGTTTCTTCAAAAAAAAAAATTATATAAAGTTACATAAATATAATTGGTACTTTTTTAATTATAAAAAAAATTTTTTTTTATTAATTATTATTATAATTGTTTTAATTTTGAATTTAATATTAAACCTGAATTATTATTATAAAAAATATTGAAAAAAAATTTTATTATTATAAAAAGTATATATAGTCAAACTGAGTTATAATAAATAGGTCAAGACCATAAAGATAAAATTTCAAGAAATTTGATATAATAAAATTCAATTAGTAAATCTGATATAACAGATTAAATTTGCTATAAATGTTTTTGTACTTATCTTCGGTATAATGGGTTTTTACTTAGTTCTTCAGTATAATGAGGTTTGACTGTATTCATATTAAAAGAAGAATTATATTATAAAAATAATAAAGATAATAATTTAATTGTTTATATTTTCAAATAATATAAAATTGAACATATAGATAAAGTTAATACATATTTAAATATATTAAATATATTATTATTTGATAAAAATATTATTGTTTTAATATAATAGAAAATAATTAATTTTAATTTTTAATCTATTTTTTATAATAAAACATAAAAATATTTTTATTTATTTTTATATTAAATAAATTATACTATATATATTATATATTATAATAATTAATATTTTTTTAATAGTTATTAGTGTATCGATTAAAGAAATTTTTTTTGAAAAAACAAAGATGTTATAAAAGTATGTTTATATTTAAAAAGCTGATGGAATATAAAAAAAATTATTAGAAATTATTAGTAGATTTTGATATATAAATTATATAATAATAGATGCAAATAGGAATTCACGTGACGAAAAAATTTATTGGTCGTTATTATTGATTTTAAATTATGGAGCGTAATATATTTGTCGATTTACACAAATGCAAAGTTTTTGACGCGCCTCGAATCTTTTTTTGCTGTGTATCGGAAATATTTGCTTTCCTGCTAAAAAAAAAGCAAATGAAAATTTATTGATTAAATGAAAGATTACAGCAATTATCATGATTCTTGCTATACAAAGATAATGCTTGCTAATGTGAAACTCCCCAAAATTTCTATTCCTTTTAATTTATCCTGTCATGTTCAAAGATCTATCTCGTCCTTGATAACATAAACTCCAATATCATTCTATTCCTTTATGCATACTATGAAAGGTACGAAATGCCAGACTTATTCCGGGTAAAAATTTTACAAAGACGTGAAGCAAAATATTTATAATTTGAAAATAAATTATGAATGATTGTTTTTTTTCGCGCCAATTCCTAAGATAATATTTTAAATGCTCAAAAAGGGTCTCGATTAATAATGGAAAATTAATGTGAAAGGTGTAACTTGTCGGGTAACTTGTTTCGATCATGTTTTGTGATAAACCACTTGAAATATTCGTACACCGACCAACAAATGGCAGTTGATGGCATGTGAGACAATACTCTGGGTCTTATTCCTCTCACAAAACCTTTCACACCATCTTTTTCATAGATAATTCGGAATGCTTCTATTAAACCATTGCAATTTCGTACGCGAATATCTGATGAGTTTCCTCTTGTTTGCAGCAAAGTCTTGACCACGTCTAATGGAGTGGTGGCGGCAGCTGCTATTGCACCCGCTAGGCCACCTGCTATCATATGGGTTTTTGGATCATAAGTTCCTTTAGGGTTCAAGACTTTACGAAAGTATTCGTATGAACTAAATTGAACCATTTGAAATGGAATTGTCATTGTGAGCGTTGTTGGATAAGATACGTAGAAAGCTATCATCCCCTCCCTAGCGTATACTGTGCGGGCACATTCCAGGACATTCTTGTATATAGACCCGTGAACCTGCATTCTCTGCTTGATTACTATTAGAAAGATTATTACATAATGGTTAGGAATATTATTTTAGGTTAGATTGCTAGGAAAATCATAATCTAAAAACTAACCATCAAATGGGTTCATCAATGCGTCGCTTGCTATAGTCGCACAAGCTCCTGCTACTCCTGTAATCATTTGTTGAGACAAATAAGTAAATATATTTTTTTAATGACATATCTTAGTGACAAAAGGAAATGGAGATGTGAATTTCTACAATACCGTGAGCAATCGGATGATGACCTTCTCCTTGATTAGCACCGAATAGATCTTTACACATTTCATATGTTCCAAAATATAATGCATGCGCTGGACCCGCTCCTAAAACCACAGAGTTGACTCCACGCCACAAAGTGCGGGCGCCTTCTGTTGTGTAAATACGAGAGAAGGCATTCGCGACGCCTGTGTATACTGCCTGAGGGGTAGGATTGATTATTTGCATGCGAGTCTAAAAAATCATCATGTGGACGATATTATTAAGCAAGAAATCGAGAGACCTTTAGAAATCAAGACCGTTTTTTTTTTATCATACCTTTATACTGTCTATGGGATACATAATCGCGTGCTCACCGATACCAGCTAGAGCTCCGGCGATCAGATTAGCAGTTAATGAGGAGTTTTCAGGCAAGGCTTCGTAGTCGTGCTCTAACAGTTCCGGCATCTCGGAGAACAATGTATTCATATGCTAGAAGTGTCTTTTGTGAAAAGGAACAGGAGTGATGAGAAAAAATTTTTTTTGTTAGAAGGTAAGGTAACAACTTTTATTTCAAAAGATTGCGATGTAAATTCCATCTGATAATTTAACTGATAATTTGACCGATAATTTGACTGATAAACCCTAATCTAAACGTAGTTTAATAGATAATAAATAATTCACGCAGGAGTTGTGCAACATTTATAGATTTATAGTCACGTGTTCGAACGTCAAAACCGGTTCAGAAATAAATTAAGTAATAGATTCATTATCAATCAGATTATTATACATGTGGTGACCATAATTGGTTTTTTTAAATTTTTTAATCAGATTTTTCCTATCAGTGTAAGCACAAATAGGAACATGGCACCACCGTTTGAATATAAATTGGCGATAGAAACACTTCACGAATTAAGAAAGAGCGGGGAGAGGAAATCGGAACTTGTTATTTCTCTGGGCGGAAGACTAATTCGGGAAGGATATATCGGCAAGCTCGGTGATGATGGTGTGTGTGTATTGTTAGCTAGAAATTTTTTACAAATGACATTCACCTAGAGTAATAATATATAAACTTTAGTGTGGTCTGTATATGAACAAATTTTTGTTGCTGCTCTGGACCACCGAGAAGAAGCGTTGGCCAAGGTGACGAAAGTTCAGACATGGGTTTATCCGGTTCTATTAACACGTAATTGAAACGGTTTTTCGTGATATTTTCGCAAATTCCGAAGACATGTCTAGAGAATCTCGAGAAGCGGTTTCCAAACTCACCTCGAGTGAAAATATTAGAAGGAATGAAATTAGAGGCTGAAGAAAAGTTGGACGATGCGTTGAAATTATACGATGAAATTTTGGAGGAGGATGACTCAAATATCGTAGGTCTTTGGGCGAAATCATGGGATCGCGTTTCATTAATTATGAAGATGGTAGTTAATAAGTTTGTGTCCTTTGGAAAAAAATCCGTCGCCTTTGCAGGCGGCAACAAAACGTAGGATTGCCATATTTAAAGCCAAGGGACAAGACCAACAAGCGATGGAGGCACTATCACATTACCTCGATGCCTTCTACAATGATGCAGAAGCATGGTTAGAATTATCATCATTATATTTGAATTATCATTTGTAAGTATCTCTTCTGTTCCTTGCAACCTATGTAATGATTAACGTGATCAACATTAAATAGATACAAGCAAGCAGGATTTTGCCTCGAAGAACTCATTTTGCTTCAGCCGCAAAATCACCTGTACCATCTCAAATATGCAGAAATTTTGTACACCTGTGATAATATCGATAATATCACTTTGGCCTTGAAAGAGTTCTGTCGAGTCGTTGAATTATGCGAGGATCACGTTAGAGCCTTATATGGAATTAAATTGGTATTCAATCTTTCATCAGTTTCCATTATCTCGTTCTCTACTAACTTTTGTGTTTGCATATATCAGTGCACTTCTCGACTATTAAGCGTACGTACGTCTTCAATTGACGTGAAGACGATATCCGAGCTAAATTCTTTGGCTAGTGAGCGAATCTCAAAAGTTTATTCTAAGGGTAATAACAATAATAATAACTCGGACGAAATTCCAAATTGTTCATGATTGGTTAAAAGAAACTGATAAACTGATGGAATGATCTTGCGTGCTGCTGCTTTGAGTGAGTTGAATCCCAGGAATTATAACAAAACAACATCGATACGATCGATTGTATCGGCCGTATCAATGAAAGTGAATAAAATACCGATTTGAAACTATATACTTTATTTAATGATCCAAAAGATTCTTCGCCTTTTTTTGGTCTTTTCTCAATAATATGTTAAAAATACAAATGAATGACGAGGGTGAATTTGGAAATTTACGATTGTGAAATATATATATATGTATATATAATGTAAATGAATGCTTCTCAATAGAATTGTCTAACACGTTGAGTAAAAAGGAGGGCTTGTATTATGCTATTGGTACAAATCGTGTAATAATTCTTGCGAAGTAAACCTAAACTTCAATAGTTCTTTAATAAAATGGCGAAGATCTACGCACAACAATTATTACCATTGGTTGTGACGTTGAGAGGCAGAGAATTTCCTCCTTGCAAATGACCGCCGATTTTGATTCCGTTTGCCTAAAGAGCCCATCGTAAGATAATTGAAAAGATATCTTGCTTAATTTGAAATTTAATTATTATGAATGTAATTAGGCGAACCTCGTTAGTAACATCAAAGACGCCTTGTTTGATTTTCTCGTAAATGTCCCTGGCGGTATCGATGTATGCCTGAAAGAATTGATTGTAATCGTATTTAAATAAATTATTTCTTGTCTGATAATTGGTAACTATACGACGGGGAACACATATGATAATACTGTACGTCTTCAACGTTCTCTGCCGTCTTTGCGGATGTTTCCATGAAAAATAATCCATGTTGTCGGGCAAACGCTTCACCTTCCGCGTAAGAGACGGCGCGCTTGGATTCTAGGTCACTCTTGTTCCCGATAAGCATTATCGTTGTGTTTGAATTGGAGTGCTGGCGTGCATCTTCAAGCCAGATGAGCAAGTTTTCAAAAGTTTCTCGCCTTTAAGCAGTAATCGTTTGATTGTTCACTCAAAAATACAGATCACAGCGATACGAAAGGAGGCGATCATAAAGAAGACACATTTTAGTAGAAGTTTACCTGGTGATATCGTAGACTAAACAAAAAGAAAAATAAATTGAGTAAGGATTTTTAAAGTGCGTGAGATCAATTTGATAACAACCTAGCAAAGCCCCAGCGGCACCGCGATAATAACTTCTCGTTATACTTCTAAAAGACTCCTGTCCGGCCTGGTTTGAATGGACAATGGCATCATTCACGATCTTTGCAATCGGAATATCGCATGAACAAAGTAAGAACTTACCGTGTCCCAAATTTGGAGTTTTATTTTTTTCCCTTCAACCTTAATTTCACAGGACGTTAAATAAAACGTTATTCAAACAGACACGGCTCAATATTATCCGATTCCAAACTTACATCCACAAACCGGGCCCCAAATTCCACGCTGTGAAATGATATTTAGAATGTATTTCTCTTACATTAATAATGAAGATCGTGGACGTATGAGATGTTTCAAAAGTTCAAACGGTAACATACCCAATGGTCAAGTCATGAGCTGGCTGAAATCGTTTATCCGTGAATTGTAAAAGTAGGCATGACTAAAACATAACATTAGGCAATGTTAAAAAAATAAAATAAAGCGAAATCCACGCATACCGATCAAGATGTTTGATCATCGTAACAATCCCGCGATGCTTCAAATAGAGATATAATAAACTCAATTGCAGCAGATATGCTTTGCACGAAAATAACTTGATCGGAATCTTAACGTTTCGATCGGATCATGGTCCAAACAACAACATAATGATAAAAATCACTCCAAGGATTCGGGATCATTTACCTTTCCGACACCTAGGCAAGTAAAAGTGGTAAAACATACGCATCGTTAGAATAGCTAGTTTACAAATTAGATAGGTTATTTATTCTCGTACCTGTGTCTCCAATGATAATATACTATTTGTTTAACATTATGAATCCACGGTGGAACGACAAAAAAGGGTTAGTGTCGGAAAATTAATGTTTTTGATAAGGGCAGAAATCAAAATTCAAACCTTTATAATGTAGTCGTAGGTGAAGTTGGACATTTTGTGTCAGTGAAACGAATCTAGAATGAAAGAGTAAAAGTTTGCTGAACCGTAAAACAAAGAATTGCTGATAAGCGTGAATTACGGCAATCGAGTTTGAAGGAAAGTCAAGGGGGAGGTGGAATAAGAAGAATATACAGTTTGAGGGTTAAATGTGGACTATGTATTTTTATTCACGTAATACTACTGTGCACGCTTTTTGATCATAACCCTGCATCAAAGAAAATCACTATTGAACGGAAATTTTTTAGTCCGTATTTTCCCGTCATCGGTCTAAATTTGTACGTAGCCAGAAAATCAACTGCTAAATTAATTGATTAACTCAAGTTTGCCATGTCTCAATGGTTGTCGCAAGGTGAGTTGTGGGGCCGTCCTTCTCCTACTTTTTGACAAAGTGGTCTCCAAAGTTCGCACGATTGTCGTATACCTGGATTCTTCGATTTGTGAAATACGACGTTTGCATTTTATCCGAAAAAACTTTTAAATCTTGACGTGGCAACTATTATTAATGTTGGGAAATTTTTTCCTTGCGTAGGACATTTTCCACCTCCCCCACAATATTCCACTTATCAGGGGTCTC